TAAACTAGCCTTTACATGCTATTTGTTTGAATTCTGAAGATTAATCTTGTTTTACATGGAGGAGTTACTTACTTAGATGATCTTCATCTTGGTTCCAGTTATGTCATAAAACAGCCCTGAGCATAGTTTGTACCTCTTTCACATAAAATGTGTAGGTTATTCATGTATGACAGGCATTTGTTTTAAGGGGATTATTCTATTATAAGAAAGTATTCATATGGGAACTGTAATTGAAACATTATCTGGAAGACATTATGGGAATTGATAGATGAATAATTTCCTAATTAGTCTTTATTGAAAAAGATGCCAAGGGTTCAGGAGAGACATTTTTTACTTTCCGCTCTTACTTCAAATACCTTTTTTTCCTACTTAATTGCTCTCCATCTGTAGAGGATGAGCATGCGTTAATAGCAGCACTTGTGCTGAAAAGTGTCATAGGTTATAAAACCTAATATATTTTAAGAGCTATGTTAAAGGAATCCCAGAAAACTTCACTAATATACACTACATTGCCAAATGTTTCACACTTTCATGAGCTTGTTTTACATTCCATTCTAAATCCATGACCATTTTATGAAGTGTCACCCTACCCCCCCTTCCCTTTCAGGTACAGTGGTGCTTAAAAGTTTGCATACCCCTGGAGAATTGGTAATATGTATTTGCCATTTTTAAAGAAAACATGAGTGAAGCAGGCAAAACACACAGTTCTTTTATTTTTTTTATGGGATTCATATTCAAATGTAGGTCATAACAGAATGGCACAATCATAAAACAAAACATGGAAACAAGTAAACAAATGAAATGACCCGTTCAAAAGTCTGCATACCTTAGCTCTTAACATTTTTATTTTAAGAACTATGTTAGGAAGTATTTCTTTATATAATAGGGGGTACAGTATTTCCCGCTTTAGCATCAATGACAGCGTGCAATTTTTTTAAATAGTTGTCTATGAGGCCCTGAATTCTTGCAGGTGGTATAGCTACCCATTCAGCTTGGCAAAATTCCTCCAACTCATGCAAAGTCTTTGGTCACCTTGCATGAGCCGTACATTTGAGATCTCCCCAGAGTGGCTCGATTATATTAAGGTCAGGAGACTGTGATGGCCACTCCAGAACCTTCACCTTTTTTCTGCTGTAACCACTGAAGGGTCAACTTGGCCTTGTACTTATGGTCATCGTTATGCTGGAAAGTCCAAGAGTGTTCCATGTGCAGCTTTCCGGCAGAAGAATGCAAATTGTCTGCCAGTATTTTCTGATAAGATGTTGCCCTTATCTTGCCGCCAATTTTCACAAGTTTCCCCAAGCCTTTAGAACTCACCCTCCCCCCCAAATAAAAAAAAAACACATCAGTGAGCCACCTACATGCTTCACAGTGGGGATGGTATTCTTGTCGATGTTGACCCCTCTCCAAACACAGCACTTATGGTTGTTACCTGTACAGTGCCAGGCTCTGTCACTGGCTGAAAAGAGGTAGAAATGGTTAGGAAAAGGGTTTGTACATGTGCTGAGTGCAGGACTATGGAGCATAAAATGTGAGTGGAGAAAACTGCTTTTGCCAGATTGTTGTATTTCTAGATGGGGCTCCATAGTTTGGAGATTTCAAAGTGGCTTGGGAGGGAAGAAATCTCCAACCCAGTGACTGGGTTTTGTAGTAGACCTACAGGGTGTGGGCCCAGGTGCTCACAGCCCTTAAAATGTTGGTCTGCTGAGAGATGCAGAAGAACAGTTGGAGCAGTGGCTGCCACTGAGAGAGTCTCTGTGTAAGACAGATGCTGCGTGCATCCAAGATGCTTGAGGCTGTATGCATTAAAGAGCTTGAAGCTGTGTGCATTACGGAGTGCACAGCTGTGTGTGTTCAAGAAGCCCAAGGCTGTTGGCCAGGAATGGCCAGTGGTCGGGAGACCAAACAAGCAGAGGTACTGCTGACCAGAGAGAGTCAAGTGGCTCAGTATTTTTCATTTGTACTTTGAATGGAGAAGAACCCCTGTGTGGGAAAGCGTATGTTGGACTTTTGTTTTTTTGCCTTTTTTTTAATAAACATTGGCTACCAGGCCCTTAAATGGAGTTCCTGACTGATGTGAACTTACTTGAAAATTCTCCTGGCATTTGTGGCTGCAATCAAGAGATCCTCGAATTTTCCACTTTTTAATAAGTGACTGAACAGTACTGACTGGCATATTCAAGGCTTTGGATATCTTTTTAGATCATTTTCCATCTTTATAAAGTTCCATTACCTTGTTATGCAGGTCTTTTGACAGCTCTTTTCTGCTCCCCATGGCTCGGTATCTAGACTGCCCCATGTATCCATGTCAGAACTAACAAAATCATTGATTATTTATACACAGACACTATTTGCAATTTAAAAAGCCACAGATGTGAGAAGTTAACCTTCAAATGCCATTTTAACCCGTGTGTGTCACCGTGTGTGTCTGTACAAAGGCCAAACATTCCAGGGTATGTAAACTTTTGATCCGGGCCATTTGGGTGATATCTGTTATCATTATAATTTAAAAAGGAGCCAAACAATTATGTGATAATAAATGGCTTCATATGATCAATATGCTTAAATAAAAGTTTTTGGCATGACCAGTCATATTTTCAATATCAATGGCAAAACTTTACAATTTCTGCCAGGATGTGCAAACTTTTGACCAAAACTCCAGTCTTCTTGAAGGACTTCCCAAACAAGCTTGGAATGTGTCTGTCGGAATTTGTACCCATTCAGCCAAATTAGCATATGTGAGTTCTTGGACATTCATCTTGCATTGTGATGCAAATTGAACGCGTTAAATAGGGTTGGGGACAGGGTTCTGTGCAGGTCACTCTATTTTCCCCACACCAAACTCAGAAATGATATCTTTTTGGTAAATGTTCCAGCATTTGTTCCAGCATTTGTATCGCCCCCTCACCTCCCCTGATAGTTTCCTGAGTCCATTCCCGATCCAGCGCTGTGCCCGACTGCAGTAGCACTGGTCTCTTTCTCTCTCTCTCTCCTCACAGGACAGAGAGGCAGCAGTGGGAATCATTGGCTCCTGCTGCTGTCAATCAAATCATGTGAGGAGGGAGCTGGGGGCCAGGTCAAGCTGTGCTCTGTGTGTCTATGGATGCGCCTTGCTATGGTGGCACACACAGAAAAGAAGGAACCAAGAGCACTGGTGGGGAACATTAGAAGAGGAGGTTCAGGGCCATTGCACACAGTCACATATGCCAGTCTGTTAGATACTTAAGAATGCAAAGAGAACTCTCTTAACAGCCAATCAGAGTATGCTTTACATGTTCTAGCCTACTTTAGGAACAGGAAAGGGAAAAGCTAATTGGTAGCTAGATTGAAAGTATGAAATAGAAATTGCACTTCAGTCATACACTGCTTAAAAAAAATTAAGGGAACACCTCTTAATCAGAGTATAGCATCAAGTCAATTAAACCCCTGGGGTATTAATCTGGTCAGCTAAGTAGCAGAGGGGGTTGTTAATCAGTTTCAGCTGCTTTGGTGTTAATGAAATTAACAACAGGTGCACTAGATGGGCAACAACGAGATGACCCTCAAAACAGATGAGAGCAGGTTCACCCTGAGCACATGTGACACACGTGAAATGGTCTGGAGAAGCCCTGGAGAAAGTTATGCTGCCCGTAACATCATTCAATATGACCGTTTTTGGTGGTGGGTCAGTGATGGTCTGGGGAGTGATATCCATTGAGAGACGCACAGACCTCTACAGGCTAGACAATGGCACCCTGACTGCCGTTAGGTATCGGGATGAAATCCTTGGGCCCGTTGTCAGACTCTACACTGGTGCAGTGGGTCCTGGGTTCCTCCAGGTGCTCAACAATGCCCGGCCTCATGTGGCAAGAGTATGCAGGCAGTTCCTGGAGGATGAAGGAATTGATACCATTGAATGGCCCCCACACTCGCCTGTCCTAAATCCAATAGAACACCTCTGGGATATCATGTTTTGGTCCATCCGACACCACTAGGTTCCACCTCAGACTGTCCAGAAGCTCAGTGATGCCCTGGTTCAGACCTGGGAGGAAATACCCCAGGACACCATCTGTCGTCTCATTACAAGCATGCCCCGACGTCAGGAATGCATACAAGCACGTGAGGGTCATGCAAACTACTGAGTACCATTCTGAGTTGCTGCAATGAAATTTCAGCAAAATGGACTAGTCTGCTGCATCATTTTTTCACTTTGATTTTCAAGGTGTCTTTGAATTCAGTCCTCTGTAGGTTGATCATTTTCATTTCCATCAAACGATGGGCATACTTACATTCCTAACACATTACCCAGTCCATATCAAGATAGATATCCAGCATGATATTTTCCCCATTGAGATCTGATGTGTTTTCAAAGTGTTCCCCTACTTTTTTGAGCAGTGTATTTCATACATAAGAAGGAACATAAGGGGACGCCAGACCAAGTATAGCAATGTTAAGTAAGGGATTTTAGTCTGGCGCCCCCTTGTGTTCCTCTCTATTTTTACAGAGACTGCTTCACTCTGGAGAACTGGTGCTATTGTTGCGTAGATTTCTCATGAATTTTATAGACATTTAAAAACAAACTATTATGGCCTGCTATACATGATCTTTGGACATTGTTTATTATGGATTTTTTTCATCTGGGCATTAATGTCATAGCAGCACCATTCCTTTCCCGAAAGTCATACATAAGGCCAATGGATATTTTAGGAAGACAGTTTAAAGTGAAGATGCATTAGTAGACTTCTTATTTAACTCAAACAATAAAAAAATTAAAAACATGGTATTTTCTATAAAGTTAACTTTGTTTTAAATGGAATGCTACAATACCTTTTCCATTACTGGAAAAACACACAGGAATTTTTTCAGCACTCAGTACCTCACAGCATAGTAAAAGTACAATTATAAAGAATATTTAATTCTGGCACATCTGTTATCAAATATGTTTGGTAATTCAGTAGTAGGTGCTAAAAAAATAAATGAAATTACAAAAAAAAACTCAAACAAACAATTCCTGGACACTATTAAATTAAAGGACAGGAATGTGATCGGATATCGTTCTGTTTGAACACAGCTTCATCCAGGTCTATCAGATTTCCATTGAAGGCCACATCCATACAACCAACGTAGAAAGCGGAGACAGGCGTAGCGGTTAGTGGGATATCTGCTGATAAAAGCAAATATAGTATTATTGACCTTTTAGTAAGTAAATAAGTTAATTATAATCAAACCCTACATTTGCACCTGGATTCAACCTCTTCGCACCTAAGGGAAAAACAAATCTAAATGCCTAAATGCCTAAGCACAATTTTGCAACTTTTGACGTGTTAGTAAAACCGTACATATCATCACAACTACTTTGTGCATCCAGGTGGACTAAACCTAGTTTTTTTTTTTTAGGACAAATTGAGATTTCATTTGGTGATGAATAGTAATGGATATCTCCTGATTTGTTTTCATTACTAAACTGGCCCAAAATTAGTAAATAAAGCATTTTTTTAAATTTAACTGTATATTTCTTGCTACTACCATGAGCTACTAACAAAGAGCAACTCAAAATAAATTCTCCTGCTCATAATGATCGCAGCAATACCACATATGTGTATGTTAGTTGTTGTTTGTACCCATAGTATGGTCCACAAACAATAGTGCACATTTTGCTTTTTTTTATCCTACCTAAAGTATACTGACAATGACACTAACTGACAATAATTTAAAAATTAAAAAAAAATCTTGACAAAAAAAAACAAAACAAAAACTGACCCTGACCTTTGACCCTAGCCTTGACCCAAACACTGCCCCGGCACTTGCCTAGATAAAACCTTGATCTAGGTATCACTTTTATTTTCCCTCTGAAAGGACTAAAAGAGATACAATGTATCTCTCTCCTCCATTCAGAGAGAGAAAACATAGGGGCGGGCTTCACAGTGACTGATCACTGTGGTAGCCAATCATTACCACAGGACCCTGGGCTCTCGGTGAGACCCTGATCCCTGTGCCGCGCCACGCGCTCCCAGCACAAAGACAGGTACGCAAATATGCAACCCCATGGAAAAAAGCCCAGTCCAGTGGGGCTGCATATTTGTGTATGGTTGTTGTGAAGGGGTTAATGAAGTTTAGTAGAATGTGATTTTAATGCAGAACTAAACTCCCAAAATGAAAAACTGCTATTAGGTGGAGTTTTTGGTAGAAAAGTCATGCCAAGTTTTCTGTCTGAAAATTGTTTTTCCCTTAGCAATATTTTCTTTTGTCTGTACTTTGCATGTAGCGTGCAGTATACACTCCTTTCTCATTTTTGGCGTCTGTCAGATACTAAGAATGAAGCTGGATTCCCGGGACAATGTAAGGCCTGTTTACATGCGTGGGAGTTCGATCACAAGTGGCTACCCAATAGCCATAGAGGAGTGATGTAGGTCCCAAAAGAAGTGGTGAAGATGGTAACGGGGACAGAGTACCGAATGTGAGCTTGGATCTGAGTGGGGGAAGACACTAATGTAGGTAAGTGTACTGTGTATACTGTATGTTGTGCAATGCCAAGCTCCTGCAGGTACTAACTTCCAGTTACTGAACTAGAGGAAGTGTCAGTGGACTATTTATGGCCTCAGTGAGAACTACAAATCCATCTACAGTGATGGCAGATAGGACTTGTACTTCATTCATTCACAGAACTTTGCCTGTACAGCGTCTGGTTCTCAACAACTACTGCCAAAAGTGACAGCAGCTGCAGATGTGAAATCCCCACATGTTGTCTTGGGGGTAGCATGGTGGTAAAGGATGAATTAGCCTTTAAATATGTGAGTAAGGCTACTTTCACATTGATGCATGGGAAAAACACATATGCATTTTTGCCACATTTTTTGCAGCATTTTACCCGTGTTTGCAATGTGGTTTTTACAGGACGTGACTCAAACACAAATTTGCCGTGTTTTCCATTGATTTCAATGGGGAGGTGTTTACTGCACCCACCCTGTACTAAAAATGTAGTAAGCAGGATTTTAAAAACCACACAGGACCCTCAATGGATCAGTGTGAAGAGTTTCATAGGCATGCATGGTCACATGTTTTTCTCCTGTTTTTTTTTCAATGCAAAAGCAGAAGAAAAACTGATCAGCATGAAAGCAACCTTACCTTGTAAGCCTGTGTGGATGAGCTTTTGTTTGCTTCAAAAAGGTTTTGCATTTCCATACAAGTCTATGAGAATGTAAACCTGCTTGAAGCAGATCAAATGTAGGTCTGCAAGATCAACTGCAGGTCAAATGCACCTGTCAATGAATTCTGAATGATCTTAGAAGTGACATAAACAAGTCCAAAGCTAATTGGCACAGGCTCTAACAGGTCCAATACATCAATAGTTTCCACTTCACAAATGAAGAGGACCTCTGCTTTAGACCCTATGCATAGTAAGTGAGAGGATCCCATACATACATTGAAGGACCTCGAAACACATTTGCTTAAGTGAATGATTTTGTCAAAGCATTGCATCACGGCAACCAACTAGACTTAAACCTGTGGCAGCAAATGACAGTTGGCAAATTAAAGTTTGAATTTGGTTTCATGCTATGCGACAATACAGATAGTTCTTAGACACTTTGATAACGAATAGGGAAAAATGCTTTAGCAAAGTAGATTCAAGCCATTCTCTGCAATAGTCATCTTAGGTGCTTATTTTTAGTTTTGAATGGAGTAGGCAAGACTGTATGGTAGGGCTTATCCCCTGACAGTTCAGGGACAGAGAATTGCCAAGCATTACCCCGTCCTATCATGACAGCCAGGGCTCCGCTATGACCTGAACTTTCTGTTTCCCCTTTCTGCCATGTATTCCTATATATTTAAAGTTCTATCTCATTCAAACACACTGCACAAGTTTAGATTTACCTAACAAAATACCCAAAGGAAACCAGTGAAACATGAATGTGACATACAAATCCTATGCAGACAGTGTCCTTGGGTGACCGACAACTAAACTCAGGACCCCAGCTCTGGGAAGTTACAGCACTAACCACACATTCTTCCAAGCATTACCACTCATTTTGATAGGCAAATTCCCTTGGTGGCTAGTGGTATCATATTGTTATTATATCCCAGAGGATTATTCATTGGAATACATTGAGATAAAATACCCCAGAGATAAAAATGAGGATGCTCATCCTACAGCGATGCCCTGGTTATCATTTATGACCAGGAGTGGGGAGAGAACTTCTTGTTGGAGCAACAGAGAGCCCACTCTACCTAAAAATGTCTGAGTTCTATTTCAGAAATCTTTAACTTCTTGTCCAGTCAGGGATACCATTGCAGGGGATAGATTTTTAAATACTGTTTTGATGCTCAGACATTTGCCTAACATTAGCCAAAAAATTCTACTTATAAACATGGTGTCAGGAGAAATAAATACCTGGAATTCCTCCTAAATATGTATCCAGCTGTCCTTTCATTGCCTGATCCAAAACTGACAACTGTGTCTTCATTTGTTCTTTGTTTGCATAGTGGATTTCAGTGTAGGAATCGGATGTGATACTTAGAGCCGACTTTGTAGCTGTTAGGCTTATGAAAAGGTTTTTGTCTGTACATATCCTTTTTGTTGACAATCGGCCCACTGTGATTCCCTCAATACTGACAATGATGTCCTTGAAAAAAAAACAAAGTTAAACAAAGTCTATTAAGGCTTACATTTAACTCATTCATCCTCTTTTTAAGGTGTGGAGCATTGAGTAGCATCAATAATCCCACTAACATATGATGCACAAAATGCAAATAAACATTGTTTTTCTATGATATCGCTGAAGCAGTGGACTACAAAACTTCTAGGGTTAAGTACCAAAGTTTAATGCACTATGAAAACTAGGGTTTACATCAAACTTGACAAACTATGTATAAATGATATGTGCTTTGTACAAGAACAACCTGCTATTAACCAAATACGAATAAAACATTTGTAACGGGTGCTACCCACCGTTCTGTTCCCCACTCTCCCCACTGCCCCTCTTCTCCTGTCACACAAGGGGGAGACAGGCGTGGCTGTGCTGTGGGTGGCTAAGGGATCTCTTCCCCCTCCACCCACTCATGCCACAGCCACAGCGAGAGACCAGACCAGCCATGCAAAAACAGTGGGAGAGTGCAGGTGCAGGCTTGTGTATCCCCCCCCTTCCTAAGCCACATCAAGGGAACAATTGAGAGGACAAGTGTATCATGGGACATGTACCCCCAGAACAAAGCTGGCCCCATTGATTTAAAAGAAGCAGACTACAGCCTTCAGCATGCTTTGGGGGGAAGGAGAGCAGGAGTCCGGGAAGGAGTCAGTGTGTGTTACTCAGGAAAGAGGGGAGATAGCCTCCCTGCCCAATGATCATGGAGAGTGGGGAGAGTATGCCACTGGAAGACACTACAGGGTGGAAAAGCCAGTTGACCTGACCAGGCAGAGATAGAGCCACTGCCAGGACACAGTCTTTGCCATCCTGCCTGCCAGAGTCGCCATGTACAGCCAAGAGTGAGCGATTGTCCATGCCGGAGGGATCACTGCTGCAGTTTTGCTGGGTCTGGTGAGTGGACCTGTTGGCCATTATCCACTACTGCTCCCATTAGGAACTGCCCACCCTGTTATCCTTTAGCTCTAAAACTGCATGCAGGCCCTATTCATGGCCGCAATATGTGACAACGAGCTCCAATGATTAGCCGTTGAAGATCCAGAACTAAATACTGCCCTCTAACCATAACTGCCTCAAGGCACAGCCTATTTTCTATTTCAAGTGGTACACTACCCTCTCCCATTTCTGTTCGGCTGTGTTGATTATTACTGATTTACGCGTTGCTTCTTTATATTTATATAGAGACATATATATATATATATATTTACCTGTGTTACTTGGGAGCAGTTTCACTTTGTTTAGCAAGACGTACCTCTAATTTACCCACTGTCATTTATGCAAATTTTTATCAAAACATTAGGAGTGTGGGTTTATTTATTGCCAATATCTTATAGCCAGGCAAAAGGTACCGTACACTTGTGTTGCTACTTGTTTTTGTAGTGTTGTAGTAGATGTGCTTGAGGGGAAGAGGTTGTTCTTGGATTTGAGGTGCAGGACATGGAACCCAAAACTACCAAGGAGCTCCTTCAGGGGTGGTGCTACACTTTGTTCCAGGTTTTTAGTGGGAAAATGAACAGCACTATACAGCTATAATAGTCCACCGATGTGTAAGGTTGGCCATATACTAGTAGAATCCTGTTTGAAATATTTTGTTTTAAGAATATTAGTTTGATATTCTGTTTGTTTGGGGGTGAAATCAATGTTCATTTTCAACAGCAGTGACAAAAAAGGAGACTTATAGACCAATTTTTTTTGGCTGTACTTCTCCTATGAATCACAGGAGTGCAGTTTGTTATACACTCCTGTGACCTGTTTTCAGCCGACGGTGGGCTAAAACCCAGTCCAGGCTCTGAAAAGAACTCAACCATTTGGTCGAGATCCACCCAGAAACCTGGACTGGCAGCTGGATCACTCTCTCAGCAAGCTGCTGAGAGGCTGAGCCAGCCACTCCCGCCTCCTCTGCAGCTGGGCGCTCCAGTGAGCACTGGAGGGGCAGAGCAGAGAGCCAGAGACTAACAGTCATGGCTCTCTGTTCAGAGCAGAGGGGAGAACTGAGTGATCAGGGGTGTCTGAATGCTCACTTCTCACTGCAGAGCCAGTTGGGAAAACATGCAGCACTGGATCGATGTTGCATCCACCTAGATGAATATATTGTTTTTTTGTTTTTGTATAGCCCATATTTGTCTTTCAATTAAACAAAATAAAAAAATCAGGTTGTAAAAAAAATAATGTTAAATACATTTAGCTAAAAAGAAGTTATAATTCTCCCTAAATATTAAGAGAGCAAGAGGTGACTGGATACATCTACAGGTGAAAAGCAAAACCATATTTAATATATTATTATATCACAGTTTTTATACTTCTTCTTAAACTGCTGGTATCATAAAGGCATGCTTGTAACAAATATAAAACAAACTCATAGACGTACTTGCACAATGTCGGATGACTGGTCCTCAATAGCAACTGCCAATGGCACAGTGTCTTCTTTAACTAGTGCAAACATCACCCCAGTGCCAGTAGATGATCGAATGTCCAAAGTAATATTTACTATCCAATCTTCTTCAATTGATGTGCTGTCAGCTATAAGAACAATGATAAATTATACTGTGTCTGTAATAAGGTGATGCCATGATATCATTTTATAAACAAATGCATTATGATAATAATGAAGGCAATGACATACTGTAGTTCAGTTTGAATTGTGCCAGTCCTCCTCCGGGGTAGTAGGAGCCCTCCTCCACATCCACCAGACAATGCTTACTCTGCTTTCCTTGAATAAATTCTTTTACACCCAACGCCCCTTGATTCATCAGGTTCCATCCACGGATACAGCCATCCAGTCGGGGGTTAATCTACAGAGAGATATGTTTTTTTTAAGCATTGGAAGGGTTTAGCTTAAGTTTCACCATTTAAATCCAACTCTAGTCAATTTTTTTTCTGATTCTAAAAAAGTGGAAGACTTAAAATTCCTGGCAGGTTATTATTATTGCTGTTTATTTCAGTGGGGAGGCATGGACAGAAATGAAAACATTGTTATACATTCTAACCCTTTCCAACAACACTGAAAATGTGTTTTTATTTTCTAAGGAGAGATTTTCCATCACTTCTAGTGATAGCAATAAAAACCTGACAAAGGATCTAACCCTTACATACTATATCGACAACAAACAAAATGTTTGGCTGGAGTTGGATTTTAACCTACTAACGGGGAAAAAAAACCATTGGTGAAGTGGCCTCCAATCTGTAATAGGGCATATTTTCTCCTGAAATTAACCCCAATGCAATATAGGCTGGTGGGAAAGAGAAGGGAGGGGGTTCTTATCCCAAGAATTTCTGCTTACGATAAGCATGTCTTATCTATATAGGAAAATACAGACTTTCTAATCTGCCCAATCACAGTTGAGGCTATCTTGCTTACCACCAGCAAGTGAGATGATCACCTGTTTCAACTGAAACCAGATGTCTGTCATCCCGTTCCTGTGGACAGCATTAGCGATAATTTGGTTTAGATGGTAGGGTTGTTGTTATCATTTTCTTACTGGTATGATTTTGGGTAATGTACTGAAATGTCAGAAAAGGGCAGACATAATATTCATGTTTTCTTAGCTAAGACTATAAAAGCGTATAAACAGAGGTTACCTTCTGTGTAAATCTCATTCCAAAAAGATTAGTAGATCCAGAGAGGTTGAAATTTGAAGTTTTATGTAAATCTCAACTTTTCCTGCAAAAGTCAAACTTGACCTTGCTTTCTCCCTTCCTTTTGGTCTTTCAATGGGATTGGCAGCCACAGTAACTAATACAGAGGCTCAGTAGATGGAAGGGGGCAGAGCTAAGGGTGACTTACAGGAAAATATGAAATTTTTATATGTCCCCTTCCGCTGTATCTACAAATCATTTTGACATGCAGATTGAAATGCAGATCTGTTTGGGTTATTTTTTATTATTTGCTGAGCTTGAGTTGGCTAGGTTTGTGAGAAGTTAAATTCAAAGCCCAGCGGAATCCTTATTTTTTACTAATCATTCAGGTTTGCTAAATCGTAAAATATTTATAGTTTTTTTTTTTCATTATTATCGTTTTGTACTCTTGAGGTAGCCCTGTATCAAGCTGCTCTGTGGAAGTAGCACTTTCAAGATTTGAACTGCTACCCTTTACTTTGAGTGTAGCAGCCCAAATATCTGGATGCGCTCCCTGCACAGTGCTCCAATCAGTAAAGTTCAAGATCTGCAAAACAGCGCCACTGATTGGAGGACACAGGGGGTGTGTGGTACTGCTGGAGATCCAGAAAACTTCACTCTCGGGGGGGGGGGGGGGGGGAGTACCAAAAACTGAAGCACTCAGAATCTGGTGCAGCTATGCTTGGTAGCCAATCAACTTCTAACTTCAGCTTGTTTAATTAGTATTTGACAGTAAGACCTGGAAGCTGATTGGTTTGTATGCACCTAATTGGAGTTGCACCAGTTTTAGTAAATAATCCCCTATGTGAAAGCAGTGGTCTGCCTTTCCAGCATGCTACTGGCTCAAGGCAGCTTGATATAGGGCTACGCCAATAGGGCAATAATAATGAAATCAAAAATTTTAAAAAAACTTAAAGAAGTTACTTTTTATATCTAGCCTAAACATGTTTAACAAATAAAAAAAATGAGGGCTCAATTGGGCGTTAATATTTAGAGAGAAAGTAATATTAACAAAGAGAGCAAAGCAGAATGATCAGCGCTAAAACAAACATAAAAAGCTGAAACTGGAACTGATATGGGTGACTAGGCACCTAATTATGGGTTTCTACATCTCTGCTGTTTACTTTTGTTCTTGCTCAATAAAGAAATGTAAATGTATCACAATGATTGCACTGTGAATAAACATTCCATGAAATCACCGGTTTAATGAGATTTTCTATTTTCCGTGGCAATCCCGCTATGTAGACTTTGGTTTCCAAAATACCATTCACAGGTTTAAACAGATATTTGGGATTATTGATGTTCATAACAGCTTCTTTGGCAATCTTCACACTTATACTGTTTTCCAGCTCCTCCACTGACACCTACAAGATGAATGAACACACATTTTGTGTTTACTGTGTAGCTGTTTATTTTTACAATGTAAGAACAAGAGGTGATGTATGATGGAAGAAAGCAGAGATAAATTATAATAAGCATGCTATTTGCAACTGTACGGCTATATCATAGTTTGCTCTAAAAAGGAACTGTGGTTTACATATAATTTAACTCGTAGTTTAGTTAATATACCATAGCCACAGTGTTCAGGCAGCTATACCAAACAGTTAGTCAAATGACAATTAAAGTGATATCAAACCCTTGGTTCTTTAAAAGAAAAGTATGGCCAAAACTTGGTCATACTTCTCTTATGGGTCACAGTAGCGCACTTACTTGTGCTCTCCTGTGGCCCAGAATCAGCTGACAGCAAGCTAAAGCTCATTGTCGGCTGACGTCACAGAGCTGCTCCATCTACCCAGATGCCGGATCAGCAGTTGGCTTCACCTCTCAGCTCTCAGTACGCAGTTGAGAGGCCCCTCCCCAGCCCAACACTCCAGTGAGTGCTGGAGGGGCAGAGCAGAGAGCGGTAACTGACAGTTGCTGTTCTCTGCTCAGACATGACAAATAACTGAGCGATCATTTGACATGCGAGCGCTCTGTTCTCAGGCTTAGAGCTGGAGGGGGACAGCTGCAGCATCAGACTGATGCTGCAGTAGGAAGGTGAGCATAGATGTTTGTTTTATTTTTATTCCCATACTTCTCCCATAAGCACTTTCAGCAGATGATTTTATCACTTACTTAGTATGCAGCTTTTTTATCTTTTAATCACTTGCCTACTGGACGCTTCCACCCCCTTCCTGCTCAGGCCAATTTTCAGCTTTCAGCACTGTTGCACTTTGAATGACAATTGTGCGGTCATGCACCATTGTACCCATGTGAAATTTTTATCATTTTTTTCACACAAATAGAGCTTTCTTTTGGTGGCATTTAATCACCACTGGGTGTTTTATTTTTTGCACTATAAACAAAAAAAAGAGCAAAAATTTTGAAAAAAAAGTTTTTTTTTTGTTTCTATTATAACATTTTGCAAAGAGGTAATTTTTCTCCATTACTGATGATGAAGCTGCACTGATAGGCAGCACTGATGGGCACTGATAGGCAGCACCAATAGGCACTGATGAGGTGGCACAGATAGGCAGCACTGATAGGAGGTACTGATAGCCAGCATTGATAAGCGGCACTGATGAGCTGGCACTGATGATGCACTGATAGGTGGAACTGATGGGCACTGATGGGCAGCACTGCTGGGCTGCACCGCTGGGCAATGATGGGCGGCACTGATGGGTTGCACTGATGGGCAGCTCTGATGGGTGGCACTGATGGGCCTAGGTGGGTGGCACTGCAGGGCACAGGTGGGTGGCATTGATGAGCACAGGTGGGTGGCACTGATGGGCACAGGTGGGTGGCACTGAGGGGTACAGGTGGGCAGCACTGATGGGTACAGGTGGGAGGCACTGATGGGCACTGATCATCAGGGCACTGATCATCAGTGTCCTGATGATCAGTGCTGATTCTTTTGCTGACAATGCTGATTCTCAGCAGTACTTTCCTCACGCCGTGACAGCGTGAGGAAAGTGCAGCCGATAACTGGCAACTGTAGTTACCCGGTGATCTGCTGTGTCATTGGACACAGTTGATCACGTAGTAAAAGGCCACCATGCACGTAGTAAAAGACCACCATGTTTGGACACAGCGACCACTGGCAGCACATGGTGCGTGCTGCTGGGGGGGCGTGTTCTGAAATGATGGCCATGGACGTCGTCCCAGAACTAGATAACCGTGCTGTTGAGAACTGGTTAATCCTTGCCTATGTTCCAGTTTAAGCTGGTTCCATGGCTGCTGCCCTAGGTTTCCTGTTTCTGGGTTGCTCCTTTCTCTTGCAGCATCATATGAAGTCACTTTTGCAAGGGACCAAATTTGCTTCTCCCTATGCAGTGTGCATCAATAGAAACTAGGGATGCAATGATACCCTTTTTTGAACAGCAAGTACAAGCACCAATACTTTGAGTATTGATACTTTGCAGTGCGATTTGCAACAATACAAAATTTATGGATATAAATTACACCGCGGAGAATAGCATGCGATTTAAACAGCAATGAGATTCCTGTCCAAATCGCATGTACTTTCCCCACTGCTCCTGTGTGAACTCGGGCTTGTCATAGTTCACACAGGAGCGGTGTGGGAAACCTCCCTGCACCAAACCCATGCTTTCAAAGAAGGAAAAGCTGGGGATTTAAAATCTAAATGACTTTCTCACCTCTCAGTGCTGGGCCGACAGTAATAGTTAGATGGCTTTTGATTGGTCACCACTGTCACGGTGCTGACTAGTCAGAAACTGTCTAGCCCATTCTGTCGTCCCTTCAAGGAGAGGCAAAAAAGCCGCTTCACTAGCCTGGGGATTTGAAATTCCCATGGCTTTCTCTCCTCTCAGTGCGGGGATGACAGTACAGGCTAGACAGCTTTTGATTGGTCAGTTTGCACACTTCAGTTTTATTAAATCAACCCTATAATACATTGTCCTACCTTCACATGTGCTGTCTTAGGTTGCCCTTAGATGGGACGCTGGCTGATCAAAAGAAAACAAACAGATTTCCTCATCTACACAAGCAAGGTGTATGGAGGAATCCTTCCCACTGTGCTATTGTATTCTGAAAGTAGAAATCTGCTGTCAGACTAACTGATCAGTGCTGCAGCTGTTGATCAAAAGAAAAATTTCTGTCATTTCCATTCAAGTGATGTTGAACCAAATTTCAATCCATTTATGGCCAGCATAAGGCTAGCAGTAAGGTCGGACAGGGTAGCCCTCCCACAGCTACCAGCATGAGAAATTCAGGACCATGATCTACTGTATATTTGTCATGCAATGAAATGCAAACCTATTTGTAGGAGTCCATAATGAAGATGATCCTTGGGTTCTATGCCTTCATGTGACCTCATGCCACACAAAACAGATAGATAAATAGATAGATAGATAGATAGATAGATAGATAGATAGATAGATAGATAGATAGATCAATTAACTTAAAGAAAAGCTTTCACTAAAATATCTACAATATCCTTATTTTCACATTATTTTTCTTGTATATAAAACCATGAAAACACACACTTAACAGTAGGATAAAACGCACATTACTATAATAGAAAAAAATTTAAATCAATAGCTGTACCACATAATTTAATTTATTATAACTGTATCCCTTTGAAAAAAAAATACAGAAATGACAAAATCTGATAAAAATTAAAAGACCTTTGACACTCACTATATGCCAGTCTCCATTATTGATTGACTTGCCGCCAGTTGTAACTTTTGTCCATAGGTCATTCTTGAACTGAATTTCAATTTTTCCATCACGCAAAGCGAGTAGAAACCATGATGTGGCATCAGCTGACTCTGCATACAGAATCACTCCCTCCCCATCGTAGGTTCGAAAATCAAACTCTGCTGAAAACCTTTGTGGGAAATAAATTCCATAATGTCAGCTTAAGCTCCTCATACATGAGCCTATCAGGTCAACCAATTCTTCTCCTTTTTGATTGCGGAAGGCCAATATTGATGAGGAAAACCGATGGAAAAAGATGTTTGGCATTGTCTATGTAGGTCATTCAGAATTGGATATCTGTTGTTTGGAAAGATGGCAACACCCCATACAGAGGGCAATGATTGGAAGAAAAGGTTGAAAATAATATTTCTGTGTAAATTGTATGCTCAAATTTATTAAACTGGATAAGTTCTCTAGATCTATATATCTAGATATAATATCTACAGAACTTCTCATCTGTTCAATATGTTAACAGAAGAGTGATGCAGTATATGCCAATTTTTTAAGAGATGCAACCACCCTAAGCAATGGTAGTACAGCAAGGGTGGAGCAATGTTCGGCAGTCATATGTGATAAAGGTTTCCCACACTGGAAATATACCTCAATTTATACAGGGATATATTTATAAAGCAGTGGATCTGACACTGAGCAAATATTCACTGTGTGTGCATGTATTTTAAATTACACAAACTAATTCACCACCAGTGAATGTCTGGTGAACATCTCCTTTACTACTCTCTAAATATACCCCCACTGTCCTAGTAAGTTAAACTTGATCTCTAACATGCAGGGCAAAGAAACAGGCTCAATTTAATATCAGTCCTATTAGTAGCCATAATTACTTTGCTGGTAATAAATGGGGACAAGTATCTGCCTTTAGTGAACTAGACATTCACTGAAATATGGGACATCTAGCCTTCCTTACCTTGTAACATCCGGCAGTTTGAATCTCAGATAGACAACAGGAATTCCTGTGAATTGTTCTGCCAGGTACAGCAACTCATAATTTGTCTCCAGATTGAGAGGAACACATATTGGGATACGCTACAACAGAGAAAATAAAACTTGAATACAATACAATGTCAGCAATCATTGTTATTAAGATGTTTTGCCATAAAGGCAACAGTAAATAATTGCCTTTGCATTTCAATTCTAAGTGCCGGCTCACATATATATGGATTGGATACGATTTGAACCGCATCCGATCCGCATCACATATGAAATAACATTGCTTCCCATGGTGCCTGTTCACATATGTCCAGTGCTGTGGCGGTGAGGATTCAGTGCGGTTTCAAAAAGAGTCTTGTACGATTTCTGAACAGCGCCTTCAGGTTCAGGTGCAGATTACAGGCTATTGACTTCTATGGGAACCGTTTCTAAACAGCATATGTGTGAACAGGATAAAATCCTGAGCTAATCCTGTCCTGATGTAAACCTGACATGAACTGCTGGAAAACTACTGTGTCAGTTATCTGTGAAACCTGAGCATCCATCCTCACCGTACATGTGTGAATCAGCTCTAAAATTGGTATTTCTTCTCTTTCTTATGTGAGATAAGCGGGTGAATTTTTTTTTGTCTATAGAAATAGAAACTTTATGAAAAATGAATCTGTCTGAATCCCACCAGTGACAATATTTGTTTGAACTTTGTATGCACTGCTTGTGCTTGAATGTTTCATTGTAAAACATTGTTTTATCTAAACATTACTGGCAGGTTAATTTATGCCCTGGACTGGCCTCATGAACTGTATGAGATCAAATGGGAAGAGATGTCGGTCAGCTTCTTTGGGGGACAAAACCAATGGGAATGCTTTGGTTTACTCTTTGAAAATTTGTGTTATTGTGGATAGTAAATACATAAAGGAATTAAATTATGGCTTCAGAATCTGTTTTAATTTTCTTCACATTTTTCCTGATTTTTTTTTTCAATAACCTGTTGACATTTTACCAATATTTTCTAATGCACAATTTCCACAGCCCTAATGGTGGCTGGCCATACATGCTTTGCTAATTGATCAGTTTTCCTCCTGATCAGTCTTTCCCCGTGTGTGTCATATTGATCGAATTGGTTGTCAATCTCCAGTTGAAAATTTATTTTATCGATATGCCATGCCATTTTTATTGAAAAAAGGCAACCATAAAGCAAAAGAATGGGGACCATGGCACAAAACAAGGGTATACATAGCATACCAATATACAGTTGACACAAACAAGATCAAGATAATAAAACATGATCACCCCTTTCACAGGATAATCTAGTATTGTCTGCAAGTATGGTTGGAAGTTTTTAATCATATCTTTGTTTCCACTATGGAATCTCATAATGTGATTGATTAGAATACTTTGTGAATGATCTCAGTGGACACTAATGCAGGCCATAGATGGGGAGTAAACTGGCTGGAAATTCATCCAAAAAATGAATCGCCTAATTTTCGGATCGTTAGTGTCTGAATTGGTCGGCCAGTTTTCTTGATTTTGACACATTTTTTAATCGTTCATGTTGGGGAAAAAAACTTTTGCCCATCGGGCGATTTTCACGGCAATGATGGGCAAATCGGACGATCTTTTTCCCGATTAAAAAAATGTGCATGAGCCGTGACCAAAGAAAAAGAAGAACATCTGTATCTATTTGTATCCATAAAAATCGGACGATTATTGTTTTGGATGAATTTTCAGCCAGTTTACTCCCCATCTATGGCCTGCATTAGTGTCCACTGAGATCATTCACAAAAGAATAATGGCCATTTAATGCACATGCACAAAGCTTATGAAAAAGATGATCTTTTTTATAGTTGAATTTGTGATGAATTTTGTATTGCAAAGGTTGATAAAAAGGGGTGCAGATTGTGTTCTTTTCCCAAGACTGCACTTACCCTTTTAAAGTATATCTAAAACTAGCATTGTCTTGGATGGAGTAGAGAATGGTAAGCACATATGCCAGTTTTTTGTTCTGTTTGTTCCAATGGGGAGATTTCACTTTCTGTCCCAGGGACAACACAGGAAATAGAAGGAAATCTGTCTATAGTCAGGGGAAATACTCTTATAGACAGTTGTCAAAAGAACAATTTCCTTTACAGGAATATTTTTCTTGATCTCCTATTATGGTGGCAACCATAAAACTTTGAATTTCCCAACACTTTCTGTCCTATGACAATGATCAATGCAATATAAAGTGAGGATCTCAGGAAAACAGACAACAATAAAAGCATAAAACATGACAGTCTGGGGTTGATTTACTAAAACTAGAGAGTGTAAAATCTGGTGCAGATCTGCCTAGAAACCAATCAGCTTCTAGTTTTTTTTGTCAAAGTTTAGGCTACTTTCACACTGATCCGCATTTGCAGTGCATTTATTACAGGAAATGTGACTCAAAAACCGCACCAAACATGAAATGCAGCTGAGTTCTTTAGGTGTTTTTTTTTTTTATTTTGCACCAAATCTGCACTAAAAAATGCAGAAAGCAGGATTTTAAAAAATCCAGCAGACCCACAACGGATCAGTGTGAGGAGTTCCATAGGACTGCACGGTCACACATTTTTCTTCCGTTTTTTTAATGCAAAAGTAGAAGAAAAATGAATCAGAGTAAAAACAGATTTAATTGAACAAGTTGAAAGGATAAGTTCACCTTTTCAGGCAGAATTTCACTTTTCATAATAAATAGAAGCGCTTTCTAATGCCATTTCTAGCCCAGTCATCCCAATGTGCTTTTCTTTCACTTACCTCATCCACGGGACATTTCATTTTTTGTCAGTTTGTGAGATTTTTAACAAATTTTCAGATTGCATCATTTCCTGTCAATGGTCTCTCAGCATTCACTTTCTGTAGGCCACTTTCGAGAAACCTTCACTTACATGTTGCATCACTCTGGACCACACCTCTCTCATTACAATACTACCTTCCTTCCATCAGCTATGTAGTACAAGGGTCTGTCTGATTTGATACAAATTGAATACATTGTTCAGGTGTGTCCTCCTATTCCATAGTTCTGGTAAATCTAAATTGTACAGAGATTGTACAATCAGATTGCATAGTGTATGGCCATCTTTATACACGTACATAGGAGGGAGTGGATGGAGACAGTCAGTTGTCAGGCCCTGTTCACATCTCCACATGCATTCAGAAACACACATATGTGAATGAAGCCTCATTGTGCTGTGCAAATACACAAATTTCACTTTCAGGTCCCATTCACACTGACAGTAGAGGGAGCACTTTTTCCAGTGACACACAAAGGACATGTGTGTCCTAAAATGTCTGCTTGTTTCCATGTTTGGTGTGCCATTAACAATTAATTACACTGAAAGTGCAACTAGGTAATTTTAGGTGTATAAAGGTGGCCATACACTATACAATCTGATTGTAGAATCTCTGTATGATATCCTTAAGATTTACCAAACCTATATAATAGGAGGACACAGCATCAATCCAATCACTCGGCCTGAGCCTGTATGTAGAGATGCTGGGGTAGCCAGGCAAATGCAAGTGGAGAGAGATCTGGAGATGCTATGAAAATAGTTGATAGGTGAAGGGTGTGTACTAATGAGGGCAGTGCAGGATGTGTGTGCTGCTTCCAGGGTCCTACTGCCTCCTCTGTCCTCTGTCCACATTCCAGGAATTGAAAAAGCTTTCTAAGACATTTACCAAAGGCTAAGGTAAGGCCTTGCGCTCCAGATCAAAGATAGCTTGTATATTTTTGCAACTGAGGTACCGTAATGGTATATTGGCGCATAGGGGAGCTGGAGTTTATTATAAACAAAAAGTGAACTTAGCCTTGAAGTTAGAAGCTGAATGGTTTCTATGCAGAGCTCACCAGATTTTTGCACTCTCCAGTTTTAGTAAATCAACCCCAGTTTGTCCTCCCTCTGTCCAAACCTGAAAAGTAAATGTTTGGCTTTAGGTGTACTTTAAAGTGGAAGAAAAGGCTTGCCTTCAATTCACTCCCCACAGTCAGTTAAACCATACAGTATAATTAGCTTGTTATGTGTAAAATATTAAAAGATGTTTGTTTCTATCTTTTCTTTTTCTTTAAAAAACATTGCCTTAATGGGACCACAATGACTCTGAGTTTATAAAGACATGACTGAGGGACATGCAGAATATCGAGGCTAATACTTACCACCTAACCAATAAAACAACCACTCCCTGAACCTTCTCCCACCTGAAATAACCACGCGATTCTCCTTTTGGTGTAAAACCGGCCATAGCAGCCCATTTATTTAACATAACTCTTACATAACACTTCTTACAGTACAATCAAATAATAACTGACAGTAATGATCCCAACCGGGTCCAAGGTCTTCGAAGGCACTGTTACATCAATAACTTGGCTGTATCTGACACCCAATAAAAAGGCCCCCAGCCGTTACTACACTGCTTCGGAGACAATACTACAGCTACGTAGTCCCAGATACAACCCATGAACTCCCACCTTACCAACCTAACCTTATAATTGGGAAGGAACACCCATACCTACGATGGGTCCAACCCATAATCCACCAATCCACCACTGCCTTCAAAGACCCAGCAACCTCTGCCAGCTGCCATGACAAAACAAAAACACCAAACACCTCAGGACACAAAATGCCGATCAAGGAAAGAAAAACAAAATCAATGAACCTGCACAAAACCAAACGACATGACAAACACAAAGGACAAAACCAATAACCAAAAACAAAAACAAGCAAAACGAAACAACGAAACAGGTCCAGAGAGGGAGGGCGGGAGAAACCACACCAGTGCTGGCACAAGCTCCGACTGACACCCCCGACAAGTCCCAACCCCTCTCCTCATCCTGGAAAGACCTTCCTCAAGCTCGAATACGCCAATCAGGTGAGTAAACACCCTATCTTCTGAATATACTCCCACCCAAATCCAATCTCCGCCTCGCAAGCTCCAGTATTGCTGGCCCTCCCCTTAGCTTTGCTCATTCCAGGCCCTGACTGGACAGCTGGTGGACGTTTCCTCCTAGCAGAATAATTTTTAGAAGTGAAGTGCCTCGCCAGTTGGCATGGACATTGATTGCTAGATGGTGCTGGGCCAGGCAG